AAAGAGGAGCTACTGCTCAAACTGTAACAGTTGTCACACTGTAACACTTAGGTGCCTCAGCCTCTAGTAATACAAGTCTAGCAAAACTGCTCCAATTTTGACTGCTTCTACCATGGTCAAAGTTGGGGTGATTCTTTTTTTCATAGAAACCCTCACCCCTTTCAAAGCTGCTCCAAGTTCATATTTCTATGCATGCCCCTTTTTATATTCTTTACCTTTTTATACCCTTGCGATATTAATTCAAATATAAGTTAGTCAAATTCTTCCCAAAAACTTATTTGATCATAGGATTAATTTACATATGACTGAGATTTACCATTGTGCGGGCCGGGAGCGACCCAAGCCCTTTTTCGTGCTGCACACGGGCTCTGGCCAGCAGCCTGGGCACGCTGGATCGGAGAGGGAGGGCGACGAGCTGGAAGGGTTTTCGGCGACGGGAAGATGTAAAACACGAGGGTACGTCGCAAGGGTTTTCGGCGACGGGAAGATAAACCTGCAGGACTCGAACCCGGGTAGAAGAGCTCTGAGATCGGTCAAGGATTCACACGAAGTTTGCTAGGCTCCGTGGGTCCTTCTGCTCACTCATCCACATGAAGTTTGCTAGGCTTCGTGGGTCCGGTTCTTTTGCGCACAGGGAGGGATACGTCTAGGAATCTATCGGCGACAGGGAGTGGCTAGAGGCTGATCAGACCTCTGTTGCCTGCTTGAAATGCGCTGGGTTCAATAAGCTCCGCAGCGCTTAGAGATCTTCACACAGCGTGAAGTCTTCTCCTCCCAGTGTTCGTGGAGTCCTCCAACTTGGGCGGAAACCACTCAAGCCTTTTATACGGCTAGCAAGCCAATCACTAGCCGCCACGTGTGAATAATTTAGAACTGGCCAATAATGGGGCTCAAATTAGCATACAAATGGCGGGAACTCTTTGCAACGAGCATTTCTGTGCTGCAACAAAGAAATGCACCCTGCAAAGAAAGCTTCAAATTGGCGGGAAATTCTCCCTTGCACCGGGGTTCTCTTTTGCAGCAGAAAACTCCACCGTGCAAAGAAGTTGTAATTTAGTGGGAACAATTTAGCAGTGCCGAAGCACACAAAAACAAAAATCACACCCTTTGGGTTGTGACAACCATATGTTTAATTTTATATAGAGCAGGGGGTGGCAACCTATGGCTTGTTGCCCGGATCCACTCCACAAAGGAATTGGATCCTGTCCAATGGTACGTATCTGTGGCAAGTCAGCAGCAGTTCTGCAGTACTGTGGTGAGAAGTCATGGTGAAGAGGTCACAATAGACTGCTGGCCCTGCCCCTCACCACTGATCGGCTGAGAAGGCTGCCTGTCATGCAGCCCTGCCCCTCTCTGCCAATCAGTGATGAGGGGTGGGGCTGCATTTTGGGTAGGTCCATAATCATGGTGGTCAAGCCGCAGTCCTCATGACTGCTGGGTTGAAAGCTGCATCCAGCCCCAAGGCCTAACTTTGTTTTTAAAGCAGTGTGCCACTACTAAAAGGTTGCTGACCTCTATTATTACAGTATTAATTTATGTTGATGATTTCTCTTACGGGAAAAAAACCAGGGTTAATCCAAGACGGGGGCATCTTAATTAAACTGAAAGGCAGTGGATTTAAGACAATATACAATTAAACTGTTTCTTACATAATGCATAATTAACAAGGTATTGTGGATAGGGACTTACTCAATTTATGATTTCATGGAAATTGCAAAATCGGGTACTGTCTGCAAAATCCACAGGGATTTCATAAAAGTAAAAATAAATAAAATGATGGCAGTCAAGGTCAACTAGTGTTAGACCATCAAAATCCATTGATGTATTGGTGCCTGCCCAGGGATGCCAGTGGGACACCAATCTGTTAGACTGTGAATTTATTAATTAAGGCTCTCTAATGAATACTAGTGAAAGGTTCCACGGTCCAGATGATTCTTGGGCAAAGAATTAGCTAGTGAAGTAGCCAAACAGTCTATTAGATCCTTACTAGCCTGACCAAAACTATGATCATGGCAAATTTAAGGATGCAAACTCGGGTGTTACAACTGAAACAAATCAAATGGTTTATTATTAAAGGCAAGTAGCAACAGGGTAACAAGGAAAACTTTAATATGATCAAAAGAATACTTAATGCAATTACTATATATCTATTGAGGACTAGAATCAATGACTGAGTGCCTTATTGCTCTGAATACTATGGCTGTGTCAAGCTGACGTTGATGCTGTCAGCTCTTCAGGGAGAGTAAAACCCTTCCTTCCCTCTTTCCCTTTGGGGAGGAGTGATACTTACCAAAGTAGTGTGAGCCACTGCTTATCGCACTAAGTGCTCCCGGGGGCAAATCCGGGGAGCTGATTCAGTCACAATTTACACAAATCAATGGTAGGGGAGCCATGAAGTAATTCTGGAAATAACACTCTGGGATTAAGTTTCAGTGCTGTTCCAGCTTCAGTGGTTCACTCTCTCTACACACTGCAACAGCTAAACAGCAACACCATACAACCAACAACCATGCAATAGGACCCACAGTCCACCAGACCTCTTCTATCAAACACACCATGCCACACTCATGCACTCAGAGTCACACACTCGCACCTGCACTCACTCACTGAGTTCCCATCAGCAGTGACCTTTTATATGGGTAGTGCTCATGGCACCCACCCTTGTTGCACTCATTACTCAAGGCGCACTCAGCATGCAAAAACACAAGTTTCTAGGACATTCTCATGTGCGCTGCATATATTTCTGAGGTAAAGTCATCTGCAGTTCATCCCTTGACTTAGTTTTCACATAAGTATGGTACAGAGGTGACCTCAGGCCTTATTTCTGCTCCTACACTGGAATGTTCTTTATTCTCTGTCCTTCTAGCATTGAGCTATGATCCAGTTACATGGCTTAGACTGGCCATGAAAATTCTTCATCATGCTCTTGTACTATATTTACCTGAATCCAAGTATCTTGCCTTTTTCTGTATTTATATTTTTGGCTTGGCCATAGTAACAGGCAGATTGGTTTTAATTTTGTGCAAAAGCCGTGGTTAAGGCCTTTAAAAATTGCTGAGTAAATACTGTAATTTATCTGTAGAAGAGTTGTAAAACACATTTTCTACACTGGTTGCACTCTTTCAGAGTGGAAATACTTCTATACTGTCTGGGAGGGGAGAATATTGTGTGTTGACTTAATCCGCTGTTTTCCATCTGATTTGCCTCCTTTTCAGTGTATGCCTTCTTGTTAAATCCACACCCACTCTCTAGCATCATCATAGCAGGGACAGTCCATGATGAAGTCTCATTTGCAAGCTATCCAATTAAAGAACTTGTAGGTTGTTCTTAAGCCTGACCTTTGAGGGAAGATGAGCAATGCTGCAAGACTGCATCTCTATATTTGAGGAGTTGGTATTTGTCAAAGTAGATTTTAAATAATAATTTCACACCATCCAGTATCAAGCAGTTTTTCTTTCTTTCTTTTTTTTCTGTTTATACTGTCAAAACAATACTTTGTCAGGCAGGAAGACAATAGGGTCTTTGTGTGCAGTGTTGCATTCGCTGTCTGTATTCCCCCTTTCAAGATGGCATGTGCTACATCTC